CAACTCCTGGGCTCAAGCGAGTCTCCTGCCTCCACCTCCCAAGTAGCTGGGACCACAGGCGCCCGCCACAACGCCCGGCTATTTCTTGGTTGCAGCCGTCATTGTTATTTTGGCGGGTCCGGGCTGGGGATTCGAACTCGCCACCCTAGGTGTACGTGGCTGGCGCCTTAGCCGGTTGAGCTATAGGCACCGAGCCGAATATAAATGTCTTAACACAATAACTAAGAAAATGCCATGAAGGCTGTTAACCAGTTTGATGAAAATATTTCAAATTGTATATAAAACCAGCACATTGTACCCCATGACTGAATTAATGTACACAGCATAGACTTAATAAAAAAAAAATGGAAAAAAAAGTTAACTCTCAAGCAATGGGAATATTTATCCATAATCTACCAATCTCCACAAGTGTTGGATAAAGAGATTACTACATGTATTTTATTTTACATATAAGCCTTACTAATAGGGTTCTTAAGAGGATAAAAGGATATATTGCATGTGAAGCATATGTACTATAATGCCTGGTGCACAGTAAACTGTTCAATAAATGTTCGCTATTATTAAAATAATGATTTTAGTTTACATTTTAAGCAGTAGGTATATATACAGGCAAAAATTAAGTAGGAGTATATTATAAAAGGAACATTCACCTCTGACACTGACAGGCCAATTCTCAAAAGTTCTTCAGCTAACTCCAGAAGTGCTCCAGCAAACACCAGAACGAAGTTGGTGCCATCTCCCACCTCCTGCTCTTGCATGTGAGAGGCCATTACAATCATCTTTGCGGCAGGATGCTGCACCTGTTAGAAGAGGTACCATCGAGATAAACACCTGGCTCTTAATGCAACACAAAAGCATTAATTCCCACTTCTACATTAACAGATTCCGATTTCCCTGTGGGCTACATAACTGCCATTTTTAAAGTTATTTTTAAACTTTTATTTCTAATTATTATGGGCCTAATAGTTCTATTATCTTTATAGGGTACATGTGATATTTTGATATAGACACACAATGTGAAATCAAATCATTTATCATTTCTTTGTGTTAGGAATATTTTAATTCCACTTTTTTAGTTATTTTAAAGTATACCCTAACTTACTGTTGACTGAAGTCACTTTGCTGTGCCATCAAATATTATTCATTCTATCTAAGCACCGTTTTGTACCCATTAACCATCCCCACTTTACCCCCCCCCCCGTAACCATCTTTCTATTTTCTGTCTCCCTGAGATCAACTATTTTTTACATTAACTCCCATTTGATCACACTGCTATAGGTGTACACTACTTAGGGTGTGTTCATAAGAAAAAAGCCAAGTCCCTACAGGCCTATCAGCATAAATGCATCACTATAAATAAAACCTCAAAGTGCAACTTCTTTTGATGCTCAAACATGCAGCACATACAGTTCCATATGTAAGGTTCAGCATATCATTATTATGTTCACAAAATTAAAAAACAAAAAAACAATTCTAACCACAAAACCTAGACATTTTTTAAAAGTCTACAGGAGAACTAAAATAGACATCACTTAACTTGATCAGAAGTCTCAGTATCGATTTTACAGTATTGTTGTAACGGCCTATCATTTGTAAGTTTTAAGAAAGCAGAAGTGTAAAATTTTTGTTAAAGTACATAAAAAAAAATTTTTTTTTTTTTTTTTTTTCCAGACAGAGCCTCAAGCTGTCCCCCAGGGTAGAGTGCCGTGGCATCACAGCTCACAGCAACCTCCAACGCCTGGGCTCAAGCGAGTCTCCTGCCTCCGCCTCCCAAGGAGCTGGGACTACAGGCGCCTGCCACAGTACCCGGCTATTTTTTGGTTGCAGTCATCGTTAGTTTGGTGGGCCCCAGCTGGATTCAAACCCGCCAGTTCAGGTGTATGTGGCTGGCACCTTAGTCGCTTGAGCCACAGGCCTGGAGCCTAAAGTACATAAATTTTATGTTGATTTTATTTTTTGGATTTAAAATTTTAGATACTTGTATAGAAACAGGCCAACAAATAACAAGTGACAGCAGTGAGAAAACTACATCAGCACTATGACTTTATTATTTTTTTGAGATAGAGTTTCATTATGTCACCCTGGGTAGACGGCTGTGGTGTCACAGGTCACAGCAACCTCAAACTCTTGGGCTTAAGTGATTCTCTTGCCTCAGCCTCCCGAGTAGCTGGGACTACAGGTGCCCACAACACCCAGCTATTTTTTTGTTGTAGTTGTCATTGTTGTTTAGCAGGCCCAGGCCGGGCTTGAACCCACCACCTTCAGCGTAGATGGCTGGTGCCCTTACTCACTGAGCTACAGGCACTGAACCTGTTCAACAAGTTCTTAAAGAATATATTGTTATCTGGGCAACCAGACTATTTATTTACAGTTTCATTTAAAATACAAGATTAATACGCTCCAGTTCTTTTAAGCATTAGCTTCAGAAAAATTTCCTGAAGTTGAACAAATCATTCTTTAATCACAAGACCACTAGACAAAGAATGGCTCTCCTCCATGTGTATCCACGGTATCTGTTCTATAGATTCTGCAACATCAAAAGTACAACAGAACAAAGTAAAAATCCCATCAACTGATTCTTCTTTTCAGAAAGCCAAAGTTTGATATTTTAAAAACACATTGTTTTATGTACCATGTTTGTGCATTATGGAATAATTCATTTCACTGTCTCTCTGTGGAATAAGACTATTGTAATCAATTTGATATGATTATTAGCAAATATACTTTTATCACAACCAAACCCTTTAAAAATAAGTAACTTAATTTGAACAGCTAAAATGTTCTATCTAAAGAAGACTCTTTAATCTGTATAATAAATTTTCAAGTTGGAAAGAATACCCCATACTATCCAACCTAAAATATTTCTTTTATGTTAAAATATACATAACTCTGACATCAAAACAAGTGGCTCTTGTTAAAGAAGTAACTTACTTCTAGTTCTCTTAAAATAGTTGCTGCGTCATTTGTCACAAACAACTTCTCCAGGTGGTTGATAACCATTTTGTTCATTCCTCAAAAATAATAGTTAAAAAAGAAAAAAAATCCATCATTAAATTCTTTCCCAAACACCCCAAAAAATCTAGCAAAGCAATATAAATTTGTGTTACTTAATAGAGCTTTCTAAGAACTCAACATACACCATCTATTCCAGCCTATCTCAGAGCCTATGAGCATTCCCTGATGACTTGCCCATCTCATTTCTTCTAATTTCCTACAATGACTATTACAGAGGATGCCAAACCTCACATTTTTTTTTGCCAAATTCTATCTTCTGTTTGCAATACATGTGTCATGCAACAAGTGCTCAATAAACATAATTATGTTAACATGTAAAAAGACTGAAATAATCTACCTAACAGTATATTTTTAAGTTCACTCCATAAATGTGTATCAATCTTTTTTTTTTTTTTTGAGACAGAGCCTCAAGCTGTCCCCCTG